AGAGGGTGACAGTCCAGGTGTGGTGTCTGTGAGCCCCTGTGGGGTGTGTCTTCATGGGAGAGGGTGACAGTCCAGGTGTGGTGTCCCTGAGCCCCTGTGGGGTGTGTCTTCATGGGAGAGGGTGACAGTCCAGGCGTGGTGTCCCTGAACACCCTGTGGGATGTATCTTCATGGGAGAGGGTGACAGTCTAGGTGTGGTGTCTGTGAGCCCCTGTGGGGTGTGTCTTCATGGGAGAGGGTGACAGTCCAGGCGTGGTGTCCCTGAGCCCCTGTGAGGTGTGTGTTCATGGCAGAGGGTGACAGTCCAGGTGTGGTGTCCCTGAGCCCCCGTGGGGTGTGTCTTCAGGTCTTCCCAGGTGAGCGCTGACCCGAGCACCTCTTGCATCTGTGTTTCAGGGCTCATTCCAACGCCATCTCCAACTGCTGTTTCACCTTCAGTGGCCATTTCCTGTGTACATGCTCCTGGGATAAAAGCTTAAAAATATGGAACATCCATACTGGGGAGTTTCGAAACCGGGGAGCCTGTGTGACTCTAATGCAGGGCCACGAAGGGTCCATCAGCTCCTGCTACTTTGCCAGAGACAGTGAGTAATTAACACTTAATAGAAGGACTCTGCTCCTGGGCAGTGCTGGGCAGGGCTCCTCCCGCCCCACTCAGATGGCCTTCGCTCTCTAAGTACATGCAGAGATGCACTTTCCAATGATGCCAACAGTGAAGGTGGATTTTCTGTCTCATGAGAACAAAAAAGCCAAGAGGGAAATTCATAGGCACAAGTTTACAAGTGGCAGAAACTCAGCTCAACATGGCTTGAGCAAGAAGTTTATTTATTTCTCTAATGGAAAAGTCCAAACTAACAGTGGGCATGCTGGATCCAGAGACTCAAATGACAGTCTCAGAAACACAGCTTCCCCACTCTGTCTCTCAATCAGCTTCCTTCTTGAAGTGGCCTCTGGTGGTCCAGCCAACCTGGTTCTGGCAGCTGGAGAGAGACCCTTTGTCGGCTGGTGACAGTATAAGTTCCAGGGAAGACTTAGCTCGGGACACAGGCTGATTGGACATCTCTGAATCAATCACTTAGCAGTGGATGAAAAGGTCTAATTGGCCGGGTGGATGGAAAGGTCTGATTGGCCAGGTCTAGGTTACTTGCCTGCTCTCAGTGCTAGAGTTTGGATAAGCCAGAGGGCCTGAGTAGGCACCCCTACTCACTGAGCCACAGGCACTGAGTCCAAGGTCTCAGTCTTGCTCAGGCTGGTCTTGCACTCTTGAGCTCAGGTGATCCACGTGCCTTGGCTTCCCAGAGTGCTAGGGTTATGATGTGGTGACTCACTTTTAAATGTCTTCTTTTTAAAAAAAGAGAAAAAAGTCAGAATTTTGCTGTTTTTTATTTATTTTTCTAAAAATGGAAAAACTAGGCAGGCATCGTGGTGGGCACCTGTAGTATCAGCTACTTGGGAGGCTGAGGCAAGAGGATCACTTGAGCCCAGGAGTTTGAGGTTGCTGTGACCGAGGCTGACAACACAGCACTTTGGCCTGGGCAACAGTGAGACTGTCTGAGAAAAAAAAGGAAAAAAGTAAAGAAAGACCAAGAAAAAGAAATGCTCCCCAAACTGAGTGAAGTGCTGTCTAGAGTTCCTAAGCCCAAGGTGACTGTGATGTGAAAGCCATGTAAGCCAGGCTTCACTCAGGTGGGAGTTGTAGCACTGTTGCTTGAGACCTCAATGGAAATGCAGTTGATGGTATGTATTAACCGAATCGTCTTGAGACAGAAATTCACATAAAACAAGGTTGTGTACTGATTGATGGATGAAAAAGTCGTGACCAGAGGTTCACAGGTCCCTAACCTTGTGTTTCTCTTAGGTGCAATGATTCCATGTTTGCTAACTCAGTATTTGCAATAACTTTATAGAACACAACTGCCGTGAATAATGAGAAGTGACTGTGAGTGGTTGCGGGTCCCTGAGCCACACCACGAAGGGGTTTCAGTGTCGTCAGAGTGAGCTGTGGTGCAAATCACCCCCAGCCTGCCCTATAACCACCCGAGAAGGACGCTCGCGGCTGGGGAAGATGACCCCTGTCCCCCGACTCTCTCATTTGTGTTCCAGACTCTTTTCTCATTTCTGGAGGGCTCGATAGGACTGTGGCTATTTGGGATGTAGGAGAAGGTTACCGGAAGCTCTCCTTGAAGGTACATATGCCGGGGCCAGAGAGAAGGAAGATCTGAGTGTCATTCCTTCATCCTTCCATGCTGGGTGCTGGGTGCCGGGGATACAGCAGTGGGTGACACAGACCTAGATGTCTCCTAACGGAGCTGACACATCTGTGGAGAAGGACAGACCAGAAACCAGCAAGCAAATCACCCACAGTGAGGGAGAAACACACCAGGGCGACGTGTTAGAAACAGACCCCGGGGACTAATCTACAGCACCGGGCAGGGAGCACTGAGAACTGGATGGCAGGGAGGGCCTGGGTAAGTGAGGGACGGCATTCCAGGCAGATGGATGGGCAAATGCAGCAGCCCCTAGGCAGGAAAGTCTCTGAGAACAGCAGAAAGTACCACTCGGAGGGAGGAATGCTGTAACACAGCAGGCAGGCAGCAGCGGGGAGAACTGCCAGCGCCACGGTGGGGTTGGGGGGCAGTAACTGAATCCGTCTGGCTGCAGAGTGGCACTGTGAGGGGGACGTGTAACTAGCACACAGAGACCCAGGCTAGGCTCAGTCCACGCCCCTGCTCCAGGAGCCCCATACCCTACGATTTCAGCATGCTCCCTGGTCGTGAGATCTCATGGTCACCTTTGGCTGCTAATGCCTGCACCTGTGACTCTGGGTCTGTCTGTCCCCAGGGACCCAGGGGACACCATGTCTCCTTGAGTGGCACAGGTCAGGCCCCCAGGACTGGTCTGTCTGAGTCCTCCTTTCCTAGGTTTTGTGGAGACACAGGGAGTTTATATCATAGCAGATAAACGGTTCAAAACTAGACTTTAGACTTCCTCATGCTTCAAAGTCCCTGTGTCCCCCAATAGAGTGCTCTGTTCTCTCTCCTCTCTTTCTATCTTCCGTCCTCAAATTCCTGACCTTTTGTTATGCACAGTACTTTGATCTTAGAGATGCTGACTCAGAACTGACGGTCACTAAGTGTCTAAACCAGGGATCCTCAAACTTTTTAAACAGGGGGCCAGTTCACTGTCCCTCAGACCATTGGAGGGCCGGACTGTGGGCCCCAGGACGAGTCGGCTGCTAAGCAGGACAGACAGTGGCGGCAAAAACATCCAGCCGGCTGGATAAATGTCCTAGGTGGGCTGCATGTGGCCCGCGGGGGCCGTAGTTTGAGGACGCCTGGTCTAAACAGCAAGGACTTCTCTCCCCTCCTCTTCCTTTTCACCAGAGGAAAACAACTCTCTTTTCCTTAAGCCACAGCGGATTGGTTTTGCAATTACTTGAAGCCAAGAGCTGAGTGGTATTTCCTAGAACAAATAATACAAACAAAAGTTCCCAGCTGGGAAATAATCTTTTTTTTTCTTTTTCCAGTACCATAAAAAAAAACAAAAAAAACCAAAAAAAACACATACAAGCAGAGCGCAGTGGCTCATGCCTATAATCCCAGCAGTCTGGGAGGCCGAGGCAGGTGGATTGCTTGAGCTCAGGAGTTTGAGACCAGCCTGAGCAAGAGCGAGACCCCGTTTCTACTAAAAAATAGAAAAACTACCCGGGGCATTGTGGTGGACACCTACAGTCCCAGCTACTTGGGAAGCTGAGGCAAGAGGATCACTGGAGCCCAAGAGTTTGAGGTTGCTGTGAGCTATGATGCTATGGCACTCTACCTAGGGCCACAAAGTGAGACGCTGTCTCAAAAAAACAACCAAAAAACCCCAAACACACACAGTGCCATGACGGATACACATAGGACAGCTTCACACTTTGATTCTACCTCGAATGTTATTGATGAAAACAAGGACACAATTAGTTGCTCTTTAGTGTAAGACGCATTGGGCTTTTGACTTTGATGTTTTTGGTTTTCTTTTTTGTGGTTCATATAAAGGCGTTTTCTCTATGTCCTCATTAAGATCTAATTTTTCTTCAGGGCCATAATGACTGGGTGATGGATGTTGCCATTAGTAACAACAAAAAATGGGTCCTATCTGCTTCAAAGGTAAAAGTAGTCAACATTTTTTTTTCTTTTTAAGAGACAGGGTATTGCTGTCGCCCAGGCTGCAAGAGTATAGTGGTATAATCACAGCTCACTGCAACCTCCTACTCCCAGGCTCAAGCAATTCTCCCATCTCAGCTTCCTGAGTAGCTGGGACTACAAGCTGTGACAACATGCCCAGCTAATGAGAAAAAAATTACATTTTTGGTAGAGGTGGGGTCTTGCTATGCCTCAGACTCCCAGAGTGCTTGGATTATGAGCATGAGTCACCACGCCTGGTCTAAAGTGCGCTAAGCTTTGAGTGACTTACACTGTCCATCGCATCTGGCAGGACTGGTGATAGCAGAAGTGTTACTGACATGTGTAAAATTCCCCGGCAGGCTCAGCCAGATGTCTACACCTGGCCAGGCCTTCCCCACTCAGGGAACTATCTGGGAATGTGCAGAGCAGGTCCTGGGGAGCTGCCAGCTGTTTCTGTGTCTGTACCACTGACCTTTGAGCTTTGTTAGAGGAATAGTCTGGCCAGATTGGTGAGTGATGGAGTCAACAGGGGGCCTCGGCATCAGCTTATAGACAAGCAGAGAACACCCAAGGTCCCGGGAGGGTCTGCCCTCCCCATGTCCCTGCATCCTGGAATTCCTGCTTGAATGGTGCGTGACAGCTAGCCCCGGATATTCCAAGGGCTGAGGAGTGCGGACCTGAGGAGTGAGGATTGACCTTGCCCCCTGAGCATGTCACATCCTAGGCTGGAGGTTTCCAGATCTAGGAGACTGTGGGGAAGACTCTGTTAGCATGAGCAAGTGTTCGGAATACCAGACCAATACCCCCTAATACTATAGTATGTAATAAAAAATTGCATGGTATGTGTTACTTTAATATAAAATTATAAAAATAAGTGTGTACTTGAAATCATATATCATTCTGTATTTTAACCTTTCTGTTACTTGAATACTGTTATTTAAACAAGACAATGATAACTAATAGCTAATGTCAGCAATTAGTAATTAACATTAGGGCTAATTAAACAAATATGTTTAAGAAAAACAAAAACAATTTTTTTTTTTTTTTGACACAGAGTCTCACCATGTTGCCTTTGGTAGAGTGCTGTGGCATCACAGCTCACAGCAACCTCAGACTCTCGGGCTAAAGTGATTCTCTTGCCTCAGCCTCCCAAATAGCTGGGACTATAGGCACCGTCCACAACCCGGCTATTTTTTTGTTGCAGTTGTCATTGTTGTTTAGCTGGCCTGGGCTGGGTTCAAAACTACCAGCCTGGCTGAATGTGGCCAGCACCTTAACCACTGCGCTGTGGGAGCTGAGCCACAAAAAAATTTTATAATGTTTCTTTCTGTCTTCTGATACAGCACTTTTACTGTGCCTTTTAAAAAATCTTTCTTAGATTTTTAAATTTTGTAGGACATGTTATTGTATGTTCTTAAGATACATAGACATAAGATTATTTGAAAAAATAAATAGTATAGGACTGCTTAAATAGATAATAGATATTACTTATATTTAATACAAAGCAATTACCTTGATACCAAAGCTGTACAAAAGTGTCACAAGACACTGGATGTGGCCTGTAATCCTAGCACTCTGAGAGGCTGAGGCAGGAGGTTCACTTGAGCTCAGAAGTTTGAGACCAGACTGAGACCTAATCTCTACCCAAAATAGAAAACATGTGGCAGGTCCCTGTAGGCTCAGCTACTCGGGAGGCTGAGGCAGGAAGATGGCTTTACCTCAGGAGTTTGAGGTTGCTGTGAGCTCGGCTGATGCCTCAGCACTCTAGCCTGGGGTAACTGAGTGAGAGTCTATCTTAAAGAAAAGAAAGATATCAGAAGAAAAGAAAATTACAGATCAAGATCCCTTATCAATAGAGATGCAAACATCCTCAACAAAACATTAGCAAATATAACCCAGCAGTACATTAAAAAGATTATTTGCCATGACCAAATGGGATTTATCCCAGGACTACAGGGTGGTACAACATAAAATCAATGTAATGTATCAAATTAATAGATCAAGGGGAGGGGGCTACATTTGATCATCTCAACTGACACAGAAAAAAGGCATTTGGAAAATTCAAAAGCCTTTTGCAACAACAAGAATAATAAAACTCTCAGAAAACTAGGAATAAAAAGAAAATATTTCCACATTATAAATGGTATTTATGAAAAACCCACATCTAACATTATTCTCAATGTTGGAAGACTAAAAGTATTCTTCCTAAAACCAAGATCAAGACCAGGATGGCAGGCGGTGCCTGTGGCTCAGTAGGTAGGGTGTTGGCCCTATATACCGAGGGTGGCAAGTTTGAACCTGGCCCCACCAGCTAAAACAGTAGGGTGCTGGCCCCAGATGCCGGAGGTGGCGAGTTCAAACCCAGCCCCGGCCAAAAAAAAAAAAACCAGGCGTTGTGATGGGCACCTGTAGTCCCAGCTACTTGGGAGCTGAGGCAAGAGAATTGCTTAAGCCCAAGAATTGGTTGCAGTGAGCTGTGATGCCACAGCACTCTATTGAGGACAACAAAGTGAGACTCTGTCTCAAAAAAAACAAAAAAACAAAAAAACACCAGGATGGCTTTCACTGCTGCTGTTCACTATTATAGTGGAAGTTCTAGACAGAGCTATCAGATTAAAAAAAAAAAAAGTAACAGACACCCAAATTGGAAGGGAAGAGATAAAACTATTTCTTTTCTTTTTATCTTTTTTTGGCAGAGTCTCACTGTGTCACCCTGGGTAGAGTGCTATGGTATAATTATAACTCACAGCAACGTCAAACTCCTGGCTCAAGTGATCCTGCTGCCTCAGCCTCCCGAGTAGCTGAGACTATAGGTGTCTTTGTATTTTCAGTAGAGACTACAGGGGTCTAACTCTTGCTTGGGTTGGTCTCAAACTCCTGAACTCAAGCAATCTACCTGCCTCAATCTTTTCAACAAATGGTGTTGAAAAAACTGGTTATCTACATCAAAAGAGTGAAATTACAGCTTTTCCCTATACAATATACCAAAAATTAATTCAAATGGCTTTTTTGTTGTTGTTGTCGCAGTTTGGTGGGGCTGGATTCACCACCCTTGGTATATGGGGCTGGTGCCCTACTCAATGAGCCACAGGCGCTGCCCAAAATTAATTCACATGGTTCAAGACCTAAACATGAGAGCTAAAACTGTAAAACTTTTAGAAGAAAACACTGCAGAAAATCGTCCTGATATTGAATTTGGCAAGGATTTTAAGAGACAGAGTCTCACTTTGTTGCCCTTGGTAGAGTGCGGTGGCATCACAGCTCACAGTAACCTCCAGCTCGTGGACTTAAGCGATTCTCTTGCCTCAGCCTCCCAAGTAGCTGAAACTACAGGTGCCTAGCTATGTTTTTTGTTGCAGTTGGCCGGGGCCGGGTTTGAAGCTGCCACCCTGGGTATATGGGGCCGGTGCCTTACTCACTGAGCCACAGGCACCACCCCTATTTCTGATAATTCTTGTCTGAAAGGCCTGCAGCCTGTAGGATTCCCTTCTTGCTTGTATGGGTGGGAAAGCAGAATTCTGTCAAGTGTAGTAGTCACTTTGATGCATGTCTTAAAGTGAGCAAGCCTTGTTATACTGATTCCTGGTGTCAGCCCAGTGTGGTAACATCAAACTAAATACCCTCTCAATAAAAGCGTCCAAGCATAGAATAATTAAGATTTTACTGGCCAGGTGCAGTGGCTCACACCTGTAATCCTAACACTCTGGGAGGCCAAGTCAGGTGGATTGCTTATTCCAGACCAGCCTAACCAAGAGCAAGACCCTACGAAAAATACAGAAACTAGCCAGGTGCTGTGGCGGGTGCCTGTAGTCCCAGCTACTCAGGAGGCTAAGGAAGGAGGATTGCTCAAAACCAGGAGCTTGAGGTTACTGTGTGCTATGATGCTACAGCACTCTACCCAGGGCAATAAAGCAAGACTGTGTCAAAAAAAAAAAAGGCCCAGCACCTGTGGCTCCAGTGGCTAAGGCGCCAGCCACATACACCTGAGCTGGTGGGTTTGAATCTAGCCCGGCCTGCCAATCAACAATCACAGGTACAACCAAAAAAAAGCTGGGCGTTGTGGTGGGCACCTGTATTCCCAGCTACTTGGGAGGCAGAGGCAGGAGAATCGCTTGAGCCCAGGAGTTGGAGGTTGCTGTGAACTGTGATGCCACAGCACTCTACTCAGGACAATAGCTTGAGGCTGTCTCAAAAAAAAAAAGAAGAAGATTTACTTACAGGCAACAATAAATTCTTTAGATTGGTAGGTCTTATCTTCCAGCGCTCCAAAAATGTCCAAATGTCCTAAATTCACAGCTTGTTTTCATAGACCAGGCATTTGGCAGTTAGGTACCTTGCCACTATAAATTCATGCTAGAGGTTATATGTATCTAAAATATCCATCATTTTAAAAAGCTTTGAAGCACACTATATGTCATCATAAGTTAAATCTCCCCCCCTCCCCAGAGAAAAAGGCATTAAGTCACAGAGGCAATAAAAACATGGGATGTTGGGCTGGGCACAGTGGCTCATGCCTGTAATCCTAGCACTTTGGGAGGCTGAGCAGGAGGACTGCTTGGGGCCAGGAGTTCAAGAGTAGCCTGAGCAATACAGTGAGCCCCCCATCTCAATAAAATAAAATAAAACAAAATCAGTTAGCCGGTCATGAAGGATGGGCGCAGTGGCTCATGCCTGTAATTTCAGTACTCTAGGAGGCCGAGTCAGGTAGATTGCTTGAGCTCACGAGTTTGAGACCAGCCTGATCAAGACATCATCTCTAAAAAATATCCAGGTGTTGCGCTGGGTGCCTGTAGTCCTAGCTACTTGAGGGGCTGAGGGAAGAGGATCACTTGAGCCCAAAGAATTTGAGGCTGCTGTGATGCCATGGCACTCTACCCAGGGCAATACAGTGAGACTCTGTCTCAAAAAAACAAACATGTTGGCTAGGCATGGTGGTGAGCGCCTATAGTTCCAGCTACTTGGGAGGATGAAACAGGATGATCGCTTGCCCAAGAGTTCAAGGCTTGCATTGAGGTATAATCACACATTGCGTGCCAGCTTGGTGACAGAAGACCCTATCTCTGCAAAAAACAAAAAACAACTTGTGACATTGAAGTTGAATTCCAAATAAGTTACAGTTTTACTAAAGAAACTGAGAATGTCCTGTTTAAATTGGCTGCCATTTTCTGTTGAATTCTTTTTTTTTTTTTTGAGTACTGCAGCAGTCTTATTTCTAAAAAAATGAACCATTTTTTCACTATATGAATTTTGTCACAATCTACAGCTAACATTGAACAATGTGTTGTGCCTCGTCAAAGATCATCAAATGGTTTTGGACAAATAGTATATACATTTTTGTATTATTCTAATTTTTTCCTTTATTCTCAGTCTTAGGGAACATTCTTCTTGTCCCACACTTTAAAAATAGGATTTTTAAGGCAGGCCACAAATGATAATAGCCATCTTGTGGGCACCTGTTAAAATAAGATACCTCCTTCCATTTCTGTAACCAAAAGTCTCATTAAGTGGCTGGGCTCGGTAGCTCACGACTATAATCCCAGCACTTTGGGAGGCTGAGGTGGGTGGACTGCCTGAGCTCAGGAATTTGAGACCAGCCTAAGCAAGAGCAAGACCCTGTCCCTAAAACTAGCTGGGTGTGTGGTGGTGCTTATAGTTCCAGCTACTGGGGAGGCTGAGGCAGGAAGATCACATGAGCCCAGGAGTTTGAGGTTGCTGTGAGTGATGACACCACAGCAGTCTGCAAAAGGCAACAAAGCGAGACTGTGTCCCTTTGCCAAAAACAAAAAACAGTGCTCGCTGGCTTGGCGCCTGTGGCTCAAGCAGCTAAGGTGCCAGCCACATACACCAGAACTGGCAGGTTCAAATCTAGCCTGGGCCTGCCAAAAAATAGCCAGGTGTGGGCAGTGCCTGTGGCTCAAAGGAGTAGGGCACTGGCCCCATATACCAGAGGTGGCGGGTTCAAACCCAGCCCTGGCCAAAATAAAAACTGCAAAAAAAGAAAAAGAAAAAATAGCTGGGCATTGTGGCAGGTGCCTGTTGTCCCAGCTACTTGGGAGGCGGAGGCAGGAGAATCACTTGAGCCCAGGAGGTGGAGGTTGCTGTGAGCTGTGATGCCACAGCACTCTACCCAGGGCAACAGCCTGAGGCTCTGTCTCAAAAAACAAAACCAAAAACAAAACAGTGCTCACTTTGGCAGTACATATACTAAAATTGGAATGATAAAGAGAGGATTAGCATGGCCCCTGCTCAAGGATGACATGCAAATTTGCGAAGTGTTTCATATTTTTTAAATTAAAGATAATATAGCATGAAAATAAAACAAAACAAAATAATGAAAAACGACTCCTCAAGTGCTTCTGTATATTTTGCAGAAGGGGAAAGGTGACCAAAAACTTATTATAAAACACATCACAGGTAAGCAAATCACACTCCTTTTTTTTTTTTTTTTTTGAGACCGAGTCTCACTATGTCACCCTGGTAGAACTGTAGAGTGCAGTAGCATCACAGCTCACAGCAACCTCAATCTCTTGGGGTTAAGCAATTCTCCTGCCTCAGCCTCCCAAGTAGGTGGGACTACAGGTGCCTGCCACAACAGCCGGCTATTTTTTTAAATTGTAGTTGTCATTGTTGTTTAGCTGGCCGGGGCCAGGTTTGAACGCACCAGTCTGAGTGTATGTGGCTGGCACGGTAACTACTGTGCTATGGGCACTGAGCCCACACTCCTTTTTAGGGAATGTTGTATACAAGGTATGTGCAAAGCCATTCAGCATTTCATTTACTTTGGTCAAAAGTTTATAGAATGGATGGAATTTTACAAAATTTACATTTGCACTGTATGCTGAGTATGTAGGCAGATGAGCTAAGTCTAGTTTGTATTTAAATACCAAAATTCTTTACTTTTCTGTTTTCTGTAATTTTTTCCTGTCTTCATAGAAATCCAGAAGATGATTTGACACTCTAACTTTCGAATCAAAGTATCTAAGAGCTGAGGGGACATTTGTTGTTGTTGTAGCCATGGTTTGACGAACCTCCCACTGTAGAACTTATGACCCATGCTAAGATCAGACATCTCTACACTGCAAAGGAAGACGTTACCCCAAATTCCCCTTTGGTTCCCCCACACAAGACACTTAGTTGCCACTGCTGAATCAGGAAACAGAGCAATTCTCAGTGTATTAGTTTTTTATTGCTTCTCTAACAAATTGCCACAGACCACACTGCTTAAACTTTAAACAACACAAACTTAATACCTTACTGTTCTGGAGGATAGAAGTCTGACAAGGTCCATTAGGCTAAAGTCAAGTTCAACAGCCTGCATCCTGTGCTGGAATTAAAGTCCGTACTTTACATTGTTCCACTCTCCCCATCATACAGTTCTATAGGCTTTGCCAAATGCATGTCACCATTAGGGTAGCATGCAGGAGAGCGTCACTGCCCTAAACATCCCCTGTGCCAGTTGGGTGCAGTGCCTCATGACTATATTTTAGGAAGCTGAAGCAGATGGGCTGATTGAGGTTAGGAATTTGAGATCAGCCTGAGCAAGAGCAAGACCCTGTCTCTATTAAAAATAGAAAAACTAGCTGGGTGTTGTGGCAGACGCTGATAGTCCCAGCTACTTGGGAGGCTGAGGCAGGAGGATCTCTTGAACCCAAGAGTTGGAGCTTGCTGTAAGTTGATGATGATGCCCAAGGTGACAGAGTGAGACTCTATCTAAAAAAAATAAGTCCCTTGTGCCCCACCTACTCATCTCTAGAATCCCTGGAAACGACAGATGCCTCTATTGCTTTTATAGTTTTGCCTTTTCTGGAACGTCCCGTGGTTGGAATTGTAGTCTGTTGTCTTTTCAGACTGGCTTCTCTTGCTTAACTGTGCACATTAAAGTCCTTCCTTGCCTTTGAGTGGCCGGACAGCTCATTTCCCTTCACCATTAAATGATATTCCATTGAATGGATGTACCACAGCCTACTTGGTGACCTCTGATTTGCCGTTAACTTGTTCTAGGATAGGACCTTGAGACTGTGGGACATTGAAAACATTGACCAAGTTCCTTTGGCGATCAAGAACAGAAAGGCCAGGGGCTTAAACGTAAAACAGGTTGGTATTGGGTAAAATTAAGCCCAGTGAGTCTTACTAGGGCCCTCTACAAATTAATATGTTCTTTGAACAGATATTTATTGGGCAACTGGGGATACAGCTGTGACCAAACAGACGGAAACATTTGCTCTGAGGGAGCTGTAACTGTGAAAGAGTAAAGATACCTGAAAACATGCAGTGAGCCACAGGCTGACCATTAACGGGGGGAATGCACAGGAAAGGGGAACAGCAGTGCTGGGGTGGGCAAAGTAGGTCTCCTGGGGAAGGTAACATTTGCTACTGACTTGAAGGGGGCGAGCCATAGACATTTAGGGGAAGAACTTCTCAGCAAAGGGAACAGCCAGTGCAAAGGCCCCAAGGCAGGAGCAGGCCTGGTACATCTGAGGAGTGAGGGGAGTGGAGGGACATGAGATGGCCTCTGGACCATGAGAGTCCACAGCTGGACTCTGTGTGAGCCTCCTGCGCTCTAGCTGTGGCTGCGGACCCCCTGGCCGGGCCCCTGTGCCCTGTTGCCCTTGTAAGAGGCTCAGACACCCATGTTTCTTTAGCACATGAGCTTGGTAACAAATCTTCTGTTTCACCAGGCCCAGCTAAGGCCAGCCACAGTGGCTACCCCAGTGGGGCCTTGCTGTGTACACAGCCGGCTACTGCTCATAAGCTGGGCCTCTTAAGTCCTCCTCCCCTTGGAATATGGAGTCACTAGACTTGTCTCCTCTCAGAAAGTCTGGCTGGGAGCTGCTGCTTCTGGAAACAGCACTGCAGGACAAGGGAAGTGAGGGCTGGAGTCACATGGACCTGTCTTTGTGGCCAGCTGGCCCTCGTGGCTGTGTTGGCCCTTTGACCCTGGAAGCTGATCAGCTGTAGAGCAGTGATTGCCCCTGTCCTCTGAAGTTTACCTGGGGCAGGGGCAGGGGCAGGGCCAGGGAGCTGCCTCCTCTGTGGTGCCTCTAACAACTCCTGGTGCGCTGGGGTTAGACTAGGGGGAATGAGCTGTAGGATAAGGGAGATAAAGGTCCAATGTCCTTCTTGCATCTGAAGCTGTAGCAATGATGACCCCACTGCACTTGACTTGCTTGAGTCAATGTGAGAAACCCTGAAGGTCAGATTTCCCAGAGGGCTTCCCACCAGGCAGGGCTTGCCCATCTTTCCAGCAGCCTTGCCTGTCCTTGAGTGACTGTGTGGACAAAACACAGAAGCTTGGAGTGCTAGGGCAGGGCCTGCTACCTTGCTATCTCATCCTGGGGGATCATGCTGTGGCAAGGCGCCCTGGGGGAGCTACACTGCAGCACTCTTGCGTTAGGGAGCAGCAGGTGGGGAGGAGGAGCTACACTGCCTGTATTCACTGTTCTCTGCTCTCTTTGGCCAAATAGACTCTGGGATGGAGGAGGGTGGTCAGTACCTGGATCAACCTAGTTAAAACCTCTACTCTGTTCACAAATCTTGCCTACTTGAATCTCCTGGTTCTATAAAAGTGAGGTGTCCCTAGGACACCACGGAGTCAGGAAATCCTCTTGGTCCCACAACTCTGGTCCTCACACAACAGTGAATAGGGCTGGATACCCATCCCCCTCCTGTCACATCAGGCCTCAGCACCCCATCAGCAGGGGGCATGAGCTAGCTTTTCCTGCCTAGCTCTTGAGGGGCAAGAGGGGAAGTAGCCTGTGCTCATTCTCTCTGAGGCCTGCAATTCTACAATTTCCACCTTTCTAAGTTTAGAAATTCCAGAGAGGGGTGCTCTTCCCAGGGCCCATCCAACATAGTTGGATGGGGGGTGGTGGTGAGAATTCTCACTCCTTGCCTGATCCACTCTGACTGGCACCTCCTTTCTCCTCTTTTAAATTATTTCACGTCAGTGTAAAGGATGCGGGAGGCCTTTCTCCATCTTCGACAGTGATAACTCTTTTGAAACATTCAACGCATGTGCGTTCTGCCGGATAGATGCAAGAGAATTACTAGAGGAGTGCCCATCATCAGAAACGGAGGACTGGTCATCAACAGACAGCATGTATGACTGGACTGGCCCAAGTCCTTCAAGTAGCACAGGCTACACATAGTGTAGGTTTCAGGGCTTTGCAGGGACCTTCCCCTTGGGCCCCTTCCAGCTGAGTGAGCCTGCCAGCCTGACAGGGCAGGGCAGAGCCCTAGCTGGACTCCCACCAGAGTGAGTCTGCTCAGCTCTGCAGCACCCTTGTGGAGTGGAACTTTATTCTTAGCTTTCATGAAAAATAAATCTAGATTCCTTCAGAAAACAAGTGTGCCTGTGCATTCTGGAAGCAGTTTTGTTTTTTCTGGGCTCTATGACCTGGTGTGCATGCTGTTTCATTTTCAGGACACAATTATGGGCTCACATTCTGGAGACTGGAGTTGCCCTGTGGGGGCTGAACTTGGGGGCTGGCACTAGCAGTTCCCAAGGAAGGGTTTGACAAATAAATATGAACATGTGTGGGGCCCCCTTTGTGAGTGAGAGACTGCAGGTGTCTCCCGGGCTAATGCCCTCAGATGGCCACCTGCCCAGAGCAGAGGCAGGCCTGGATAGGTAAGAGCAGGAGTCCTCAAACTGCGGCCCACCTAGGATATTTATCCGGCCTGACGGGCGTTTTTGCTGCAGCTGCCTGTCCTGCTTAACAGCCAACTCGACCCGGGGCCGCAGTCCAGCCCTCCAATGGTCTGAGGGACAGTGAATTGGCCCCCTGTTTAAAAAGTTTGAGGACCCCTGGCTAAGGGGATGGTGGTGGCATTTCCATCACAGGATGTCAGGATGTCTCGTGCTTTGTACCCTAGATGCCTCAATTTCCAGATTGTCCATGCCTACCTACAGCACAGATCAATTCAGAAAGAGTGGAAGTTTTCAGGCAGGATGAAGGTCCCTCTTTTCCATTTGGTATGTATAGATCGCACGCTTTTTTCCAAATGTCATTAATATGACCCTTGGTCCATTTTACAAACTTAACTGCAAGACTGATTTATGCAGTGTCGATCGTCTGGCATGCAATAACTGTGCACCTAAGCCCCATGGGGCAGATCCCACGGTTGGCGCCATCCTCCGCAGTCACAGCCCAGCTGACTGCTCACATCCAAGCTGACCGTGCAATATTATCCATTTATTTACACGAGTGATGTATGAGCAGGTCAAAGCTCCACTTACGCCCTCTCCTCAGTTGGGGCCCCCGTGCAGAGAAGCCTCCCTTCTCCTGGCAGGGTCTGAAGCTGCCTCACGCAGGTGTAGATGTTCCGGTCCCCAGGGCTGAGGAAGTCGGCCAGATACTACACGCAGTCGGCCCCACTGATGGCACTTAGGTTACCCTTATATAGCACAGGGTGAAACGAACCCTTCTGTGCATGTATTTTTGCACAGGGTGGCGATTTTGGGCTTTGTTGCTGCTGCCCAGAGGCTCTCTGAAAAGTGCTGGGACAGGTGGCTGCCGTGGTGGAGTGAGGAGACCCCACGGAGCAAGCAAGAGCATGGGCTGGTTGGCCCGAAGCCCGCGATCCCTCAGCGCCAGCAGGGCCCGCCTGAAACTGCAGGCTCCCGGGCCGGCGGGGAGCCGGAACCGAGAGGCCGAACTCACCAGGTTCACGCCGGACCCTCGCGGCCCCGCCGGACGCAGGGGAGAGGCGGCCCGCACGCCGGCGGGGAAGCTCCTCCTGCGGGCTGGGGGCTCGGCCGTAGGAACCTACGCCACTTCCGGCGAGGAAAAGGCCGGGACCCCTAGAAGCGAGTTCCAAAATGGGTAGTCCAGGCTCCACTTTGGAGACACTACGGTAACCCGCGATCCAGCCTCCCCAGGCCCCGCCCCTAATGTGAGACTGGAGCTTCCGCTTCCCGCGCTGCGTTCTAAGTCTCGGAAGCCGCGGTCAACTCAGACCCACACCATGTGTACGCCTGCGGCGGGTGAGATCTACGCGCATGCGCGCGGCCGACGAAGTACGCAGTGATAGGGAAGAGATTTTCGCAGTACTTACGCGGGCGGCGCCGTGGCTTAGTTGGTTAAAGCGCCTGTCTAGTAAACAGGAGATCCTGGGTTCGAATCCCAGCGGTGCCTCAACCGAGCGTCCAAGCTCTTTCCATTTTATCGCTTCCTTTTTCTGCTGTGTCCTTATCCAGCTCTACTCCCTTGAGGGGGCGAGAAGGAACCCGAACGGTCTTTTAAAGCTGGACCCCCTGCCCCGCGTGACCTCGGTCCGCTCCGGTGGGCGGTGCGTGGGTGCCCCGGGTAGCCGGGGTTGCCCGGGCGCGGGCGGGGCCGCGGGAAGCTCGCGGGCCGAGCTCCGTAACCCGCGGGGGTCCGCGCGGCGGCTGCGGTCGCGTGTGGGCAGGAGCCGGCGCTTCTCTGGCGTGGAGTCCTCGCGCGTGGCCCGCAAGGAAGCGGCCACCGTAGCCTTCCGAGGGCTGCTGACCTCCACTTCTGCCTTGTAATTAAAAATCTCAGGACCATCCCCCTGACTCCTTTTGCAAAGGAGGAGGTTGCTGAATGGTGCAACACCCTCTTCCAGATGAATTTGTCCTGCTTCAGCCAGATCCCCGGGGAAAGGCGTCTGCAAGGACTTAGACCAACAACCCCCGTCCCCGCCTCATCACTCTCGTGGAAATCCCTTGCCCACCTCCCCTGAACAAGGACATGCAGGCTGTAACTTTGGGTCTGCAGCCTAATTCTGGCTCCTAAAACTACAGTCCATTCATTCCGCAGTAATAATCAGGCTTGGTCCTGAATCAATAGAAATTGACTGGAGACCAAAAGAGGCGTTTACACAGGCAAGGCTTTAGGCAGGGGTGGTGCAGGAACCAAGGGGAGACGTCGCTGGTTAAGGAACAACCTGACAGGCTCTCTGAACAAAGGGCGGGGAACTTTTAAAGGGGAGAGAGGGAAAGTTTGATGCTAGTCTTGAAGTTCGGCTGGCAGCTGCCCATCCGGCAATTATGCTTCTTCCTATATTGCCTGTTTCATCGGGGTGTTAAATCTCCACCCTTGGACACGATTTTTGGCACTAAAATGAGGCCAAAAGTCTATGAGCGGTCAACTCTGGGCTGCATTTAGGCAGTTACCAACTTGTGTTGGCTTTGGGGCTGTGGGGCCGCTGCTCCAGTGGTTGGTTTTGTTAAAGGAGGCAGAACTGCCTGGTATTGACGCCGGGTGTTAAGATTTTCAAAGCCTTTGTTCCATGTTGCAAGCAGATTTAAGCCTTGGTCAAGGCTGAGGCAGGCACGGTTCCACTTACAGGTTTATCTGCCCAGGTGCAGAATAGGCGCAGGACAAGAGCAAACATTCTTCCACCTACCCAGGGGGGACATCTGCATAATGGATGCCTTTTTTTTTTTTTTCTTATCTAACTTTCACCTTATTTTATGCGAAATATAGATTTCCTGGGTCTCAGAAGAATGTAACTGTTTTGTCTCACTGCCCACCCCCCTCCTCTTTCTTTCTTTCTGTATGCCCTACTGCCCTTTTTTCCCAAAGTGTTTTCTCACTTTGGAAAAACAACCACATATTTATTTGTGTGTGGTATGTGTTTTTCCTGGAGTAGCCTCAACTTTGGCTTAATAAGCTTCCATTGATTGCGGTCCTTGCCTCAGTCACTTTTTAAAGTTGTCAACCTTCAGCCACACAATTGGTGCCACTGTTTTATAGACAAACGCCTGGGGCTTAGTGAGGTGGGGGCGGGGGTCCAAAGGGGAAGAGTGCAGGACTGAGTCCAGCCAGTGGGACAGTCAGTTTGATGACTGCATAAAAACTGCAGGTGAGGGGAAGATCAAATGGGACTGTGCTCAGTTCCAAGGCCCAGGTGAGGGGCCTGAGCTGAGGGCTCAAATCTCTGCGGTTTGTGAACACATTTGTATGTGGGAGCCTACTTCAGAGCAATTGCAACTGAGGCTTTGAGGGGACAGGGTGATGCATTGGCATTTTAAAAAAATTCTGCAGGGATTCACAGATGTCAAACCTAGAAGGACTGGGCAGCTACAGAAATTGCAGTTGTAGCATGAGGCTGTGTTCCAAATACTCAAATTCACCTGCCCCAGAAACAGTCCTCTCTCTTCATCTCCTATGGATCTAGGTTTAGTGTTTGGTTTTGATTGACATTTCCAAGGCAGGTGGATTGCTTAGGCTCAGGAGTTCAAGTCTAGTCTGAGAAAAAGCAAGACCTCCTCTATAAAAAGTAGCTAGGCCAGATGTAGTGGCTCATGCCTGTAATCCTAGCTCTCTGGGAAACTGAGATGGGTAGATTACCCTGAGCTCACAGGTTCAAGACCAGCCTGAGCCAGAGCAAGACTTTGTCTTTAAAAATAGCCAGGCATTGTGGCAGGTGCCTGTAGTCCCAGCTACTTGGGAGTCCCTTGAGCCCCAGAGTTTGAAGTTGCTGTGAGCTATGACTCCACGGCACTCTACCAAGGGTGACAAAGTGAGACTCTGTCTCAAAAAAACGACGACAAATAAATAAATAAAAAGTAGCCAGGTGTCATGTTGGGTGCCTGTAGTCCCAGATACTTGGGAGGCTGAGGCAGGAGGCTCACTAGAGCCCAGGAGTTTGAGACTTCTGTAAGGTCTGATGCGTGGCACTCTACCCAGGGTGATACACTGAGACTCGGCTCAGGCTCTGCTTTAACCACAGGGTTTCTGGTTTCTCCACATTTTTCATTGTGGTTTTGATTTGCATTTTTCTAGTGACTGGTGATGTTGAACATCTTTTCACCTGTTTCTCAGACCTGTATATATCTTCTCTGGAGAAATGTCTATTCCGATACTTTGTCTTTTTTTTTTTTTAACAGAGTCTCACTTTATAGCCCTTGGTAGAGAGCTGTGATGTCACAGCTCACAGCAACCTCCAGCTCTTAGGCTTAGGCGGTTCTCCTGCCTCGGCCTCCCGAGTAGCTGGGACCACAGGTGCCTGCCAGAATGCCTGGCTATTTTTTTGTTGCAGTTTGGCTGGGGCCAGGTTCGAATCCTCCATCCATAGTATATGGGGCTGGCGCCATACTCACTGAAGCACAGGCCCTACTTTGTCTATTTTTGATTGGATTATTTGTCTTTTTAATATCATGCTGTAATAATTCTTTAAATAATCTCATAAAGTTCCTTATCAGATACAGGATTTGAAAATCTTTTTTCTCATTTTGTGAATTTTCTCTTATCTTTTGTGTGTGTATCCCTGGGTGGGCACAGAATCTCTTTGCTTTCTGGATACTTAGTGTCATTTGAAGTGCAAAAGTGTCAATTGAAGTTTCAATTTTGATTAAGCCAAATTTACCTAGTTTTATTTCGTTGCTTATGGTTTTAATGTTATACCTAGTGTGTTATTGCCAAATCCAAGGTCACAAGGATTTGCTCCACTGTTTTCTTCTAAGGGTTTTATA